ATAGAGCGTGGACAAAAACAGAACCGAATTCCGATTAATTATCTTTGCAATAGGCGAGTTAGCTTTCTTGTTTCTTTATGTTTTATATACCATTTTGTAGCTCGTGAAATTCTCTATCGAATGGTATATAATAGTTGGGGTTTTATCTGACTATGATAGGAAAAGTTTTTTTATGAAAACAGAGAAGGGTCTATCTTCTCATAGGGAAAAATGACTATTTTTGCAATAACTCAGCAATGGTTCGGCCAATCATTCTCATCTTCGAACTCGACCGAGACATTGTTAAGACTGAACTGTGCAGAAAATTTCATCGCGATTGGACTCTCCTTTCAAAAGTTATCGTGTTAACGGCCGGCCGGCCGGACGGACGGACATACTGACCGATTCTAGAGTGTACTCACTTTTTGAGTACACAAAAAAGCTTGAGTAGGCTCGAATCGTCTTAGATTGAGGAGATAAAAGAGGCTTAGATAGGCTCTGTTTAATGTTAAAATTCTCTAAAGGGTGGCTCAAAAGTTTCGACCACTCTCTATAAATCGATAGTATCTAAAACAAACTTATATAAAGTTATTGGTCAAATTACGTCATCTTTTAGAGAAAGATAAGAGTTACCATGTGAAAAAATATTTGGAAATAGATCTGGCATCTCACCAACACTTTGTAAAAAAAAAGAGAAAAAAAGATGCCCAGAATTCTTGAAAAAAAGAGACTTTTTAATAAAAAAACAGGAGAAAAAGAGGCGTACAGTTTCCTTTCGAAGAAAACTAAACCTCACCGGCACTATAGTACTATAGATCCGACAAAACTCCTACGTTATCAGTATAGATTGAATATGACTTGAAAGAGAAAAACAAAAACGAAATTTCCAAATTGTTCGAAGATTTTTGTGCAGCTGCTTATTGATCCATTAGAAAACCGGAAAACATTAGAAAAATATTCTAAATATTCTATCTGCATAGTATCTGAGTATAATATTACTGTCTAACTAAGTAGGTATATAGAAATAGAAACAATCAAAATTCATTAAATGTCCTTTTTGCGTTTTGTTCCTTTTTTCGGATGGCTGCGCATGTGAGAAAGTTTTTCTTGCGCTTTTTCAATTTTCGGCAATTCTTCCATGATTTTGACCATTTTTCGCAAGTCAGTTTCACTTTTCCGTTTCTCAACATAAATTAATACATTGGTTGCAACTGTGTCCAGACAGCAGGTTTGTGGGAATCATTTGACCGCGTGCTATCGAAAACGCTTAATTTTTCGCAGTGACATATGGTCATCTTCTTGGATTCTGTATAAAACGACTTACTTGTATTGAGTAGATTGTATGATCTCTTACTTTTTGGTTATCGAATACCCCTGTTTGTTGCTGTTGCATTCCATCATATCCGATTTCTTCCAAGTATCATCAAATCATTGTCAATATTAACCCATGTCAAGCAAACACGCTCGTAATTGGAGAAATACGGCGTTTCATATCGCCCAGTAATGTGATCGTATAAATCCGTGATCGTATGCGCAAAAATATGATCGTTTATAGACAAACAAAGCTCGTCTGCACTTTTCGTTTTACTTTGTATTTCTTCGTATACGATTATATTTCTCCGTGTACGGTTTGGAGACATACGAACCTCCAAAATGTGATTGTATACGAAGAAACTCGGAAGAAGAGGAAGAGGGATTACTTCATTTTCTGATAAGCAGAAATCCTCATCTTATGTTATCATACTATCAGAAGCTATCTTGCTGAACAAATCCCATTAAAATCTGACAGAATTCTAGACTGAATCTAGTCATCCTAGGAACTCTTTACTTTGAAGCATGCGCTACGCTACGAGTTACCTATCTATTGTTGGATTCATATCACAAGCTTCTCTGGGGCCGAAAAAAGTGGTCAAGAAAAGTGAGCTCGAGATTATAATTATGCATGTCGATCTTAACCAGAAAAACATGTTAAGATCGTGAGAGAATGATGATTTCATATTGGAAACATAATTGAGTGCTTTTGCTTCCGATAGAGAACTACAAAAAATGGGTTCCGATTATGGATATATAATATCGCTGAAGTTGACCACTAAAATCATATACTTTAGCTTCCTTAGCTGTGCAACTTCACTGATCAGCACATCAGTTTGTTATGTGATATTTTTGTATGATATGGTAACAATAATCAATATATTCATGAATATTTTTGTCAACGACCTGCTTCTTCGTGAGAAAAGAGGAAAAAGTGGATTTTTTCGAAGAGGCTAAAAAGAGGAATTTTAAAAGAACAGAAGAAAAGGAGGAAAAAGAGATGGAGTGGGATGCCAGCTCAAAGCTGCGAAAATGATCATAACATTATAATAGATTTATGTATTTCGAAATATTTTTTTCAAATGATAACTCTCATCTTCCTCTACAAAATAACACAATTTGATCAATAACTTTGTATAAGTTTGTTGTGTATATTATCGATTTATAGAGAGGGGTCGAAACTTTCGAACTATCCTTTAGTTATCAAATTCTACGGAATTTAAACCTCGCAAGAGAATCTGTAGCGCTTACCATTATAAACGAAAAAAAAGTCTTTCAATTGACTCTCGGTGCTGGCTTGGCTTAAAAGTTGAGCCTACCCTGGACCAAGACCGCTCCGCCGCCCATGGTTCCGAAAATTGATAAAATTTTGATTGATTTCAGAACATTCATTCTAATGATGACGCAAGTAAAGAGTAAGCGTCAACCAATGTCAATTTGTAATAGTGTTTGAAGAACAGATGATTGAAAAAGCTTAAAAATTGGTAACATGAGAGTAAAATGATCTTTTATGATCCGAGAATATGATCATTGTCTAATACTATGTTTCCATTGTTTGCGGTAGGATTTTCATTGAAGGTTTTCTTATTTTCCTGAAGCTGATGAAAAACAATGGGGAACTAGCATCATCAAAAAAAAGAACCTTTAGACAGAAACGATAAAAATTTCGATTCTATGGAAGTTGATTACCTACTCTCCAACGATAAATCCAAGAGTTTTAATGAATCTCAAAAATCAATGCACACAATCCATTTACCGCATGTTTTACAATAATATGAGAGCAAACAACTTACATCAAAGTGTAATTTTCACTCTTGGTTCAATTCAAATAAACTTCAAACAAACGAAGATTTCCATCATTGTCAAGATGACCATAAAAAAATCTTCTCGATCAATATCGAAATCACAATGCTATACATTTCTAAGTCAGGCCTTATAGATCATTTTCAATTTAGGATATCAATGATTCTTTACACTGATTTTTTTTGTCGGAGATAGTTATAGTTTTATTTTAAATAATAAACACAAAGTGAGACATGCGAGATATAGGCAAAACTGCTTAGGGAAAACAAAGACAAACAAACAAAAATAACCAAAAACAGGAATGAGAAAAATTGCACTGATATAATAGGATTTAGATCTATGACAAATATAAACACCGAGAAAACCGAAGAATCAAATAATTTTTACAATGTTTTACGAAAAATAAAATGTTTCTTTTTTTTTATATCATTTATTTGATAATTTAAATATTTGTTCGATTTGTTTTTCTGACCATGGTTGTTGCCATTTTAAATAATGTTGAAAAATTTTTAATGAACGTCCTCT